GGAATGCCAGCTAAGTACCACTGCATATTTTGTTGCCCTTTTCCCACTTTAACAAAAAACTACTGGAATAAATGGGGTTCAACCATAAAGCAAGATCCTTATGTAAAAAGTGCCATTTCAAAGTAGTGAGGACACTGCAAGATATCAAAGCGCAGATCCGAGAGTCATAATGCTCTCTTGGGAAATTGCACCATCCGACACATCCCTTTAGGTAAAGCAGGGCATCTTTGATAGCTCTCCATATTTGATCAAATGAACCTATTGATCCTTAGCATGGAAGTTCAATAAAGACTATCAGTGTAGTGTGAGGAGTACAATAAAACATTCAGTCTTTTTGATCTCTGAGGAAGCATTTCATCTTGACATTTGTTAAATGTATCAGTGGATTGCTTAAAATAAGATTTTCTTCTTTTTAAAAGATTGCTGGGAAAGAAAAGCACACATTAAAAATTCAACTTTTTATATATGTGGTAGCTTTTACATCAGGTATTTCTCATTAATCACACTGCACAGCCTGGTATTATTATCAAATTCAATTCTGAGCAAGACTGTGAGCCTTAAATTGATATTAAATATATACCCTTGACTGCTTTCTTACAAGATTTCTGCCTATCGCTCACTAATCCTCTGCAGCATATATATATATATATATATATATATATATATATATATATGAGAAACATCTTTATAGCTCTTATCTGAGATTGCCATTGTGATGGGGGAAACCCTTTTCTCCATTCACAAAGAAATAATTTAAACAGGAATTAAACGTATTGCAAATTAAAATTGTATATTGTTTAGCGCTGAAGCTGCAGTTAAGCAAACACATATTGCCGGCTGCAAAAGAAGCAACCAAAAGACATAGAGAGTCGGGGGAAGAAGGAAGGAAGGAAAGAAGGAAGAAACCCTTTTGCTATTGCAAGAGGCAGCATGTTCCTGCCCTTAACTTAAAGCTCAGTTAACTCTGCAGCATATAGATTTTTTCTTTCTAGAAAAGCATACCCTCCAACATTTCTCCAATAAAAATAATAACAGTAACAATAATTTTATTATTTATACCCTGCCCATCTGACTGGGTTGCCCCAGCTACTCTGGGTGACTTCCAACATATATAAAAACATAATCAAACATTAACCATTAAAAAACCTCCCTCTGCAGAGCTGCTTTCAGATGGCTCGGGGGTCAGATAACTCCATACCTCCAACATTTCTCAGATGAAAATAGGAACACCCTGAGGAAAAGCAGGACATTGCAGGATCAAATCAGAAACTGGGAGAACTTCTGCAAATCTGGGACTGTCCCAGGAAAATAGAGACACATGGAGGGTCCTGGTAAAAGAGGTGCCGGAACTCATCATGAACACCTCCCTCATTCTCTTAGAATGGCAATGGCGCCCCACCTGAGAAAGGAGTTCTGGTGAGTTCACCTCGGAAAAATGCACTGCATATTTCACTCTTATATATTCTGTATGTGTATATAATATGACTGTGCACCACATCTGACTGAAACCTGGATTCTGAACTGGAACAATTCAGACTGATGTGGGATTTGACTGGATTGGGTTGAGGCAGTGAACTCACCAGCTCATATCACAGACACCCCAAGCTATCTGAGGCTGCCAAAAGGGGAGGGAGGCTGAAGGTGTGTTTCTCAGTCCTGTGGTGCCACAAAACCACTTGCACCTAAGCCAGAACCTTTGACTCTTGCTCCTCCTCTGATTTGGCCAGAGCCACCTCCTTAGCTCAGGGACATTGCGTCCCCGACTACCACCCAGGGTGTGCGTGTGCCAGGGGTGGGTGAGGCATGCTGGGGTGGGATGCGCTGAGGGGTGCACTCACCCACTACAGTCAGCTGCTTCCACACTGCAACTAGGCATTGGGCCACTAAGCGAGGGAGCTGCCACAGCTCTCTCATGCTCCTGATCCTAGCATTGGAGAGGGACTCCTCTGCTGCTTCTGCAATGCTTCCTCTGAGCTGTGGGCAATCTCAGTGTTGGAGAGGGACTCCGGCGCCGCTTCTTCAACACTTCTGCCCTTGCTTAAGGCTTGATCCAGGGGTAGAACTGTGAGCAATTGCAGCATTGGAGAGGGCCGCAGCCACTGCTTTTCCAATGCTTCACCCCCCCCCCGGTCAGACCTGACCAAGGAATGGAGCTTCAGCCAGTTGGAGGCTGCGACTGTTGGAAAATGCCCTAGGGGTGCCCCTGCAGCCCCGAACTCTGAGCATTCTCTGGTATGCGCAGCTCTGGAAAAGGCATTTCCCTTCTTCTCCAGCACACTTCAGCGACATACATCAAATGTTATATGCACACTAATATTCTAGCATAACACAGCACAAAGTGTGAGACATCGTAGTGCTAATCTATGTATTTATTTACACAGTATGTACAGACAAAGGAATTATGGTGTCCTCTCTCTCCGGCTCTGAGAGGAAACAGAACAAGTAAAAGCAAGTAAAAGCAAAAGTACAGTACAATAATACGTACAGCGGAAGAGAGAAGACTGTCTTTCGTTCCCACACTCTTCCCAGACAGGCATGTGATTTACACCAATCTCATCTGCAGCATCGGAGGTGTGAGATATTAACAGTGCCCTCCTCTCGCTCTCAGCTGGCCCAGAGAAGGAGCTACAGCCCGGGCACGGCTTCCCTCAATGAGGAAATTGTAGTGGGGGCACCTGGTCACTCCCCCTCAAAAAAAAGTGCCTGGGGCAACACCCCTCCAGCCCCCCCACACTACTCACTGCCTTAACTACTGTGGGAACTTCACACTCGGAGAGCAGAGTGACTCAGGTGGCTCCCTCTCCACTTCTGTGATGTCTGGCAACAATGGGGCAAACCTCTCCAATGTCACTGCTTGAGCCATCCTCACTGCCAACCCCTGGATCCCTCTCCCCCTCCTCTGACAGCGTGGTGTAGTGGTTAAGAGCAGTGGACTCGTAATCTGGTGAACCGGGTTCGCTTCCCCGCTCCTCCACATGCAGCTGCTGGGTGACCTTGGGCCAGTCACACTTCTCTGAAGTCTCTCAGCCTCACTCACCTCACAGAGTGTTTGTTGTGGGGGAGGAAGGGAAAAGGAGATTGTTAGCTGCTTTGAGACTCCTTAAGGGGAGTGAAAGGCGGGATATCAAATCCAAACTCTTCTTCTTCTTCTTCTTCTTCTTCTTCTTCTTCTTCTTCTTCTTCCCATCCCTGCCCCATCCCAGCTGGTGCCACAAGACCTATGGCAGCTGGGATTTTACCATGGGCAGTTATGTTTGTGGGGAGAATCTGACCTTGGTCGTATGTCAGAGGTGTGACAGGGTATGAAACAAGCTCAGATTTGGTTTTTGTTGTTGTTGTTTTGAATAAGGAGAAAGATATTAGTTTAGGTTGTACTCAGTGCTAGCCTTACTCAGAGTAGACCAAATGAAGCGATGGACATGATTATATAAGTTTCATTTGTTTCAAAGGGAAACCTTTGTTTCTAAGTCAATTTCTAAGCCTTCAGAGGCATAATAATAATAATAATAATAATAATAATAATAATATACTGTATTTACTCAAGTCTAATGTGCCATCACATCTAATGCACATCATAATTACTGCAATGTAATTTGGCAAAAAAAGAGGTGTGCATTTTTGTTGTTTAGTCATTTAGTCATGTCTGACTCGTCATGACCCCATGGACCAGAGCATGCCAGGCACTCCTGTCTTCCACTGCCTCCCGCAATTTGGTCAAACATGTTGTGAAAAGGAAATGCAAGAAAGCAAAGTGGCTGTCCAACGAGGCCTTACAAATAGCGGGAGAGAGAAGGCAAGCAAAATGCGAGGGAGATAGTGAAAGATATAGAAAATTGAATGCAGATTTCCAAAAAAATAGCAAGGAGAGACAAGAGGGCCTTCTTAAACAGCAATGCAAAGAAATAGAGGAAAACAACAGAATGGGAAAAACCAGAGATCTGTTCAAGAAAACTGGAGATATGAAAGAAACATTTCATATAAAGATTACCATAATAAAGGACAAAAGTGGAAAGAACCTAACAGAAGCAGAAGACATCAAGAAGAGGTGGCAAGGATACACAGAGGAAATATACCAGAAAGATATGGATGTCTCGTACACCCCAGGTGTGCATTAGACTTCGGTAAATATGATATGATTTATACCCTGCCCATCTGACTGGGTTGCCTCAGACACTCGGGCGGCTTCCAACAGAATAGAAAAAAGCTAAAAGCTTAAGAATATGTCTGAGGTGGATTGCACAGACCAATCTATGGGAGACTAAACAGTCCTTTTCAGAATATATTGGACTCCACAACCTCCCGGTCATGTCTGAGTCATCAGTCTTCAGAGACATAATATCTGATTGACACAGAGAAAAAATCTGAAACTCTGCAGACTTCTAGTCTTTTGGGACATGATATTTAAAGCTTTTGTAGCTAGAGTGAAAAATTAAAGCTCAGGTGAATGCAACAGTATCTCACCAGTCCTGAGATTTTCTAGCTTGCACTGGGTCCCATTCTTTAAATCAGGGGTAGCAATTTATTTTTGTAACTGAGGGCCACATACAATGATATGTTGGCAGTAGGGGGCCACATAACAATGGGCATGGCTGGTGCTGGTTGTCGGTGAAGCTTGTACTGGTGGGTATTCACACACATTCACATTAGTTCACATACACACAAGTTCACACAAATGCACTTCCCATTAGTACTCTCCTGATCAGAAAGTCACCCAATACAGTAGCTGTTTAATAGTGGAAGTGTATTTTACAGTCCCTGCAAATTGCACAGATTTAGGGGAGTGGCCCGGGTGGGCAGCAAAATTCAGCTGTGGGGGGAATTTAGTAGTTAGGGGCAGTGTGAGCACCAACACAAGCAGCAGAGAATGCCACTGAGAATTAGACATGTCCCAAAGGTTGTCCACATGTGCTTTGGAAATACAGGCATGGATCTTTAGAATTTATTAATATTTCTGATCCACCCTCCAGTGCAATGCCCTAGGGAATACAGCACACAGGAATGGGCTAGAGCTAAGTGGTAGAGCATCTGCTTTGCATGCAGAGGGCTCCAAATTCAAACCCTGGCACCTCCTGCTAGCTCTGGGAGAGATTCCCTGTCTGAAATCTTCCAGCGCTCTTGCCAGTCAGTGTAGAAAACACTGATCTAGGTGAACCAATGCTCTGATTCATCACAAGGCCTATCTTCTCATGTTCTACAAAAAGATAAAACAGTGAAACCACTCCAGTGAGGAACACAATGGAAGAAACTGTCAGTACAGTGGTACCTCGCAAGACGAATGCCTCGCAAGACAAAAAACTCGCTAGACGAAAGGGTTTTTTGTTTTTTGAGCTGCTTCACAAGACGATTTTCCCTATGGGCTTGCTTCGCAAGACGGAAACGTCTTGGAAGTTTGTTTCCTTTTCTTCACACCGTTAATACAGTTGCGACTTGACTTCGAGGAGCAACTCATAGAACGCGGTGTGGTAGCCTTTTTTTGAGGTTTTTAAAGACTTTGGTGATTTCTGAAGCTTTTCCAAAACTTTCCCGACACCGTGCTTCGCAAGACGAAAAAAATCGCAAGACGACAAAACTCGCGGAACGAATTAATTTCTTCTTGCGAGGCACCACTGTATATGGAAACATCACAGCTGCAGACAGCCAGATTGTTGACATCACATGATGTGCCTATCTGTGGGAAAGAAGAATTTCCCAGGACGTTCACAGACTGGATAAGTCTTTGTGAAGAGTGTAATTTGAAACCTTCCATTTGCGCATGTTCAGGAAGTTTGTCAGACTTGCTAGAAGAGCTGAACTGAAAGGATGTGTTTTTCTCTAGTGCTGTAGAATGTAAATAGACGTTTCTGTCTGCCTCCTTTTCCCTGCTAGGGAAGAAGCAGGAAAGGGGTGTGTGCATTTTACCCACGCTTGGGAAAATGTCGCCTATCAAAATCTCCCTGGTCTGTCTGGATGTCAGCCAGAGGAGGTTACCGGTATGCAAGCTCCGAGGACAGTGAGAGGGGCCAGCCTCTGTGGAGGGGGCTTGCAAACCGACAGAAACAGGTACCATAAAACAAAGCACTGTGTCAGAGGCCAGAGTAAAAAGGTGTGTCTTTAGCATGCGGCAGGCAGAAACTATAAGACAAAAATGCTAAATGAACCTCTTTGGGGAGGGATTTCCACAATTTAGAGAAAGCTCTTTCTCAGCTGGAACTACCAAAAGGGCCCCTCCAGCCAATTTTAGAATCAGAGAATTGTATAGTTGTATAGTATAGTCTAATCCCCTACAATGCAGGAATCACAGCTAAAGAATCCCTGACGGGTGGTCATCTAACCTCTGTTTTAAAACCTCCAATGAAGAAGAGTTCACCACCTTCTGAGGGAGTCCATTCATACCATCAGAAAGTTCTTCCTAATGTTTAGTTGAAAATCACCTTTCATGTAATTTGAATCCATTAGTTTGGGTCGTGCCCTCTGGGGTAACAGAAAACAAGCTTGCTCCATCTTCCATGTGACAGCTCTTTATTTATTTGAAGATGGCTATCATATCACCTCTCAGTCTTCTTTTCAGCATTTCCTGGACACTTGATCATCTTGGTCATCCTCCTCTGCACACATTCCACCTTGCCAATAACCTTCTTCAGTTGTGATGCCCAGAACTAGACACGGTACTATTAGTGAGTGTCTGACCAAGGCAGAATAGAGTGGTACTATTGTTTCCCTTGATGTGGACACTGGCTGTCACAGCAAGGATGAATGCATCCTCTTCCACTTTGTTATGGAGCAATTGCATAGTAGCTCCCCGCCAAAAAAATCACACAACATTTTACGGTATTTTGAGAGCAGGATACGATGAATGAGACACAACACTCATGGATCAAGATACCTAATTTGGCAGTCATGTGACAGATGGCTTGGCAGCTTGACCTTTGCTACTCTCACATGGCCTCCGCTCACAAATCTATTACTAGCAAAGAGAGAAAATAAATCCTAAAGTGTCAAAGCACATGGAAGCGTTCAAAGAACTGCCATGTATTTTTTCAAAGGGTTTCCCCCCCCACTTCCCACTACTGCATTAGCCTGAGGTTAAATTTCTCACATTAGTTACTGGAAAATTCAAATGCTCACAGTTTCCCAAAGGCTACAGCTCTGTGAAGTTCAAGATTTGCTGCCTGTGTCCGTCAACACATTGAAACAACTTAAATTTTTGTGGCATGTAGAGCAAGGACTGATTCAGATATTACTTTGAAGACTGATGGACTCAACAATCACCAGAAAGCCCTGTAGGCCTTTTCCTCTCACGCCTTTACAAGGACTGTGCAGATTCTGTAGAATAGTATATACCATCCACATCATACTGCTCAGTCCTCTGTGACAGTGGCTTTAAGAAGGCCCTGTGTACAAAGAGTCGGCCCATGCCCTTGTTTAACGTGCTGCATTGATTTACCATTCCTTTTGTAACAGTCGTCTCAACACACTCCGATCTCACACATTCTCCTCCTTCAAACTCCTCCCATACCTTCCCAACCATCTTCTCAGCATCTGGTCACTGAGGAAGGGCAAAAAGGAGTCCTTCTTCAGAACCAAGAGAATGTTTGCACCACCACCATGTTTTTCTGATGCACCTAAGTAGGCCTTTTAAACTTAGGTGTGGGTGGGTAGGTGGAAATTTTAAAAGTATTTCTGGCTGTCACAGCAAATTGCATTACTAGTTCAGGCATTTTTCTGGCCGTGGAGAATTTTGGGAGGCCATTTTAGCTCAGTACTAAATAATACACATCTTTATCATGATCAGACTCAGCATGTGAGAGGATACCAAAATATATGTCATTGTTTCTAGCAATTCAAGATGTCAGCTCCACCTATTCCTCTATTCCAGAGGTGACATTACCACTAAAGGACTATAAGGCTCTAGTGGGGTGGGGGTGGGGGGAGTTGGTTGATAACTCCAGGGAAAGTCTCACTTCCTTCCACCATTTCTTGTGGTCAATGTCCTTGAAATCCTGTTGAAGGACATAGATCAAGTTGAATGAGTGAAAACAGCTGCACTCAGGGGAGGAGGCCAGGAAACAAAAGAAGAAAGTATTTCCCCCTCCCTTTAAACTAAATTTATAACTCTGTCTTGGAACGAACTGTCAGGAAATTGCTTTCAAGAGGAGAGGACGGGGAATTGAGAGCACTGAGGGAGAGAGACTAAAGCCAGGTTTTGTCTCTCTCTCCCTTTTTCTTTTGTCAAAAATAAGGACAGAAGAAATGGACAGTGAAGTTGATTTGTGCAAACATTTTGGAGTTAAAGCAAGACGTGCCTGTATGCACTGGGCTGGGAGTAGATCAGCACATACATTTAAAAAAGGAAAACCCAGAAAGATTAGTGTAGTGATTTATGCTACACAGTCAACCAACATAAGCTTGAATTTGATGGTTGGGATGAGGGGTCCCATATAAAACCATGCCAGTTTTACTGGATCCAACTTTTAATCAGACCACATGAGAAAGGGAAAGCTGTAGGTCTGTGTGGGTATCCAATGTCTCTTTTTCTATCTGTTGGGGCAGGAAAAGACCCCAGGAGGGAGGAAAGATGCAACCAGAGACAATGTTGTCCATAGCATTCTCTCAAAGTTCCCAAAGAGCCAACAATCCCCCCCCAAAAAATCCCCAGAGTAGTGCATTCCTCACAATTTGATGTCAAAGATACCAGACCCCCCAAGTGCCCTGTTTTCTAGGGATGTCCCTGATTTAGAGAAGCTGTCCCAGTTTCTGATTCTATCCTGGAATGTCCTACTTTTCCTCAGGATGTCCCTATTTTCATTGGAGAAATGTTGGCGGGTATGGAGTAATAGTAAAAATAATAATTTTACTATTTATACCCCATACATCTTACTGGGTTGCCCCAGCCACCTGAAGGCAGCCCTGTAAAAAAAGAAGAAGTTTTTTTTAATGTTTTATTCTGTTTTTATATGTTGGAAGCTGCCCAGAGTGGCTGGAGCAACCCAGTAAGATGTGTGGGGTATAAATAGTAAAATTATCCTTATGGAATGGGATGTCCCTATTTTCATCGGAGAAATGTTGGAGGGTGTGGGATGGAGAGGGGACCATATCTTCCTGCTGTTTGGGGAGTCTGAGTTTTAGACTCAGACTAAGGACTCAGGGTTTGGGGCCATGGCGTATTTGGAGGCAAATACAGCTGTGTGGAGCAGCAATTTATTTTTTGAAATTTATTAATGGTTTATTTATTAATGTAAAACAAAGAGGAAGAAAAATAAAAGATACAACTAAAGAAGATAAGATAGCCATCTTCAGATATCTAAAGGGCGGTCAGATGGCAGATGAAGCAAGCTTGTTTTCTCCTGCTCTGGAGGGTGGGACCTGAACTAATGGCTTCAAGTTACAAGAATGGAGATTCCGAATAAGCATCAGGAAGAACTTTCTGACAATAAGACCTGTTCAGTAGTGGAGGGAACTCCCATGAGAGGTGGTGGACTCTCTGCCCTTGGAGGTTTTTAAGCAGAGCTTGGATGGCTATCCATCATGGATGCTTTAGTTAAGATTCCTGCATTGTAGAGGGTTGGACTAGATGACCCTCAGGTTTCCTTCCAACTTTACAGTTCTATGATTTTATGAAGAAAAACATAGAACATCCCCAACACAGGGAAGGGCATGAGATTGAATGTATGTCAACACAGATTCATACAGAAAATAATAATAATAATAATAATAATAATAATTTGGCTGTGTTTCCCCAGCCACTCTGGGTGGCTTCCAACAGAATATTAAAATACAATAATCTATTAAACATTAAAAGCTTCCCTAAACAGGGCTGCCTTCAGATGTCTTCTAAAAGTCTAAAAAAGATATTACAGGAGCTAATCTATCATAAGTGATGTAGGGAATTGAGAGCTGGACCATAAAGAAGGCTGATCACCGAAGAATTGATGCTTTTGAATTATGGTGTTGGAGGAGACTCTTGAGAGTCCCATGGAAATCAGCCCTGAGTGCTCACTGGAAGGACAGATCGTGAAGCTGAGGCTCCAATACTTTGGCCACCTTATGAGAAGAGAAGACTCCCTGGAAAAGACGCTGATGTTGGGAAAGATTGAGGGCACA